GCAGAAAAAAAAGTTAAATGGGAAGAAAGAATAATAAGGCAAATGTGGAAAATATTAGAAGTTGGTGCATGTGGGAAGGGAGCATCCAGATTTTTTGTACTGTTTGCCATTTTTCAATAAGTTGGAAATTATTTCAGGATAAAAAATTGGATAAAAATCTACCTGATCTTGGGCCAGGGTTGTGGCTCAGCGGTAGAGCGCTCACCTAGCACATGTGAGGCCCTGGGTTCGATCCTCAGCAGCACATAAAAATAAATAAAGGTATTGTGTCCAACTATGACTAAAAAATAAATATTAAAAAAAACTACCTGATGGTAGAAGTGGAAATCAGAATAGTGATTACCAGAGGCTGGGAAGGGTAGGGAAAGAGGGGACCCAAGCACAGACAGGAGGGGTGAGTTCCGTGTCTCACAGTGCAGTGAGTTCACCATAACCATAATATCACTTTATAAAGATGGAGCAGAGAGGAGCTCAAAGACGCCAATTATAAAGCGTATATATACATATATATACACATACATACATATAGTTTATATATGTGTGTGGGGTGTGTGTGTGTGTATTCAGTACTAAGGAATGAACCCAGGGGTGCTTTATGACTGAGTTACACCCAACCCCTTTATTTCTCATTTTGAGACAGGTTTTTACTAAGTTGCTGAGTCTGACCTAGAACTTGCCATCCTCCTGTTTCAGCTTCCTGAGTCACTGGGATTATCATGCCCCACCTAGAAATGATATGTTGTTGTGGAGATGGAAATGCTGATTACACTCATGTCATTAGTACATGCTGTATACATGTATCCAAATTAGCACACTGTACCCCATAAATATGTTCAATTATTATGAGTCAATTAAAGCTAAATTTAAATGTTCACCACCCCTTACAGAGACCCACACCATGCATTTTCTACGATGCCCATAAGCAGGTGCACATTTAGGAAGGGACTGGAAGGATGTGCCAAAGAGGAGGAAAAGGATCAAGGTGGGCATAGACACTGCCCGCCATGCGGACCCCCTGCTCTGGCCCTGTGGGGTGCTGCCCCCTGGTGGCCATTGAGGACCTGCCACTGGCACCTGGAGAGCCATTACTAGAGACAGCTGGGTGGTTTTGTAAGTGAACTTTGCATCTTCACAGGACTCTCCCCTGGGGAAGGCAGTTCAGGCTCAGCATAAACATCTCAACTGCTGACTTGCAGCCCTATGGGCAGAGGCTGACTCGCCATGATGGATGAGGAAACTGAGGCAGAGAGAGGACGTGACCTGTTCAAGTGAGCTGTCTCTGGGAAGGCCTGGGGGGTTTGAGGCCTTCCCAGAGACAGGTGGTATCCAGGCAGCTGGATTGTTTCCCCAGATGGAACTGGGATGCCTGTGGGTGACCTGCAACCATGAGCCAGCAAGCTGCTCCACACAGGGTCATTCAAGGGGACCTGACACACTCAGCACCCTCAGCCTGGGCTGGCCCGGGGTCTCAGCACCCCTTTTCCCTGGGGCTGGCCCCAAGGGCCAGAGTTTCTGGAAAGCCTCCCCCAACTCAGAATGCTGTTGGGACTGTGTCCCCTTGAGCAATGCCAGGCAAGGGGACACAGGAATCCCCAATAAGAGGTTCCCAGCCTACTGAGGCCAGTGCGGCTTCTCCCTAGCTGTCTCGCCTAGGGGTTCACCTGGTGTGTGTACCTTCAGTCCACAGCCCCTTGCAGTGTTTCGGGGAGAGGATGTGGTCTGTGGCAGGAAGAGCCAGGATGCACCATGGTCAGGAGTGCCTGATGACAAAACCCTGTCATGCCCATCACTCATGCAGGAGAGGACAGGTGTGGCCAGGAGGCAGCGACTGGGAGCAAGTGGAGCACACACAGCTGGCCCTCCCTCGAAGCCTGCCTGCAGGGATTGGGAAGATGCCTTCCACCCACTGCCCTGGAGAGCCTCAGCCTCAATCCCTGGGTGCCCCTTTGTCCAGCAAGGAGCTGGCCTTTGGCTGGAGCCCAGCCCACTCCTGTCTGGTCCAGTGAAAAACATACTTACCTGTCCAAGCCCAAAGAATGGACTAAGAGACATGAGGGCAGCAGAAGCAAGGTTTTCCTTCAATGATGGTCTTGCAAGATCAGGTGCCTGGTGGTCAGGGACCCTCAGATTGGATACAACCAGTGTTTTATCCCCTGGAGCATGGTTCCTCCCTGCTTCCTCATTGGCTGAGTACCTAAGGGTACACAGTCTTCCGGAACATCACTTAGGTTTTACTGCCTCCTGCTGGGTTATTTGAAGAAAGGTACATTTAGTTGTCCCCACCTCCCTGTATTCTCTCAGCAGGAAAGTGCCCCTGGGTTGAGCTGGTGCCGCGTTGCTCGTGACTAAAATTCTCAGGGGTCACTCCAGGGGAACTGGGCTGATTGGGCTGCACGAAATAACCACACAAGAAACAATACCTTTTTATTTGGGGGTGCTGTGACTCCTCTGACCTTAAGCTTCTGCAAAAAGAGCGGCGCTGACCCCTTTTATTGAGGAGAAACTATTCAGATGAGGCAAGGGGTCATGTTTCAGGGGGCTGAGTCTATCTTTGTGATGTCTGCTGTCAGCAGGTTGACTGACATCTAGGAAGGCCACACCCAAGGGCAGAGTAAGAGAAGGGGACACATGGACACACACAAGGCATTTCCATGGAACATTCTATCCCAAACAGGGCAAGGGTAATATTACAAAGAAACAGGTGAGTGTAGCTTCAAGGCACGCCCATGCACGAAGACACAGTGGCTCGCACCCTAGAAGACAGGGCTGTCCAGCAGCATGACTGCCAGATGCCACACCGCTCAGCAGGGGAGATAGACCCAGTCACGTCTAGTTCAGCCCCCCACAAGCTGGCACGTGCACAGTTCCTCTCTGTTGCTTAGGTCCCTTCCTTCTCCCCTCCTGTGTGTCCAGGACTGTGACTCTTACACTCAGCATTACCTGCACGTAGCTTTCTATTCTGCCGTCCTCTCCAGCTGCTTTTCCTACACCCCAAGACATTTTACATTTAAAGCCAGAGACTGTATTTTGAAAACGAACCACCAGACTTTCCATTTCTCACAGGCCTGGCCCTTGGGAAAGGAGCTGCCCCCACTCAGTTGAGCACATGCCAGAGCCATGGATTCGTCTTTTAGGCCATGGCACCCCAAGCCAATTGGTCTGCAAGAGCTCTCATGCCCAGTGGTGACTGCCCAGTTCCTGGTCTCCCTAAGTATCCATTTTCTAATTTCACTCAGTTCCCACATCAACGCCAGCAGGCCCTCTGGGACCCTGCGGCAGAGGCTCCCCAGGACTCCCACCTGGCCACATCAGGGCCTGTCTCCAGCCTCCCCGCCTGGTGGAGGCAGCCTCCCTGATACTGGCAAGTCCTTCAACTTCTGATCTGGGCCCTAGTGGCCAGGGTGCTCTCTTCTGCAGTACTCATACTAAAACCCTTGGGGTAGCCCAGCATAGGAAAAAAGATCTGTTTATTTGTTACTCTGTGGCAGCAAAATTGAAAAGGTGATATCTTAAAAAAAAAAAAAATCATCTAAATGGGAGACTCCAAAATCCCTTGGCAATGGGGGAGGCCACAGCCAGTGGCCTTACACTGCACCACACAGGAGCCAGATGTCCCAAGAAAGCCCTGTGAGGGACGGAGAATGAGCTGAACTTGTGCTGAGTAGATAGGGCCTCATGAACCGACAGCTCCCCCACTCCTCACCCCCTGCAATTTGCAGAGGCAAAGACCTGAGGCTGGGGTTGCAATGGGGTGGAGTGGAGCCCAGAGAGGGGTCATGAGGCTGCAGCTCTGTCACCAAGCCAAGGCCCTCTCAGACCTGAGAAATAAACCTTTTGCTAACCAGTGTTCTGTGCCAGACCAGGTGTCTGTGCCCCCACCTCCCACCCAGCCATGCAGACCTCTGGGGCCCAGGTTGCTGCTGGGAAAACAGATACAGGATGACTGAGCCATTTCAGCCATGAAGGAAGCTCAGTGGACCTACAATTCACCTGCTCATTAGCATGCCAATGTAAAGCATGGCCCTGACCACATTCCCACCCATCTTGGTATGGTCTGCTTTTGACCCCCAGTTGAAACAGGTCCAGAGAAGAATCTCAGGACAGGGACTGGTGCCCTCCAGAGAAATCAGAGACAATTCTTTCCACTAACCCCTGTCTTTCCTCTTTTCACTCTTTTTAAAAATACCTTTATTTTATTTGTTTATTTTTTATGTGTTGCTGAGGATAGAACACAGTGCTCTATTCCTGAGCCACAACTCCAGCCTCCCCTCAATCTTAAAGACCCGCATCCTTTGTTTGATTGAGTTATTTCTCCATGATTCTTTCAGTTCTGGCTGAAGAACAAGCCTTCCTCCTCTGCCTAAGTGGCTCTCAGTTTGTAGGGGAATAACCGCCAGCTAGGGTCAGAAAGGGGTGACAGTTCTTGTCCCTGCTGTCTGATTCCTGCCCGTGTCTCTCAAAGCTCTGCATCTACTTTCTGAAGTCTTTCGTCTTTTTCAGACATTTAAAAGAGTTTGTGGTGCTCTCTTCTGCAGTACGCATACTAAAATCAGAAGCCTGAGAAGATGAGCATGGAGGACGCAAATTCGCGAAGCGTTCCATTTTTTTTTTTTAAGTGCTACATATTTTAAGTGGCGTCAATGTTGTTGAAATTCCTTTTATTTAGCCCCACCCCCACCCACGCATGTACTTTTCTGGGCCTCATGTTTATGATGGGAAGGAGCCCCAAGAGAAGAGGCCACTCAGGGACTTCCCGGTCACCCACCCCTCCGTATGGGACACTGTCCAGGCCAGACCGCGTGGTACTGAGGGGATGCTCACGATGCTGGCCCATCAGCGCCGTGAGAGCCCCCGGATGCTGCTGAGTCCGTCTTGGGGAAGGACCCTGAAGTCCCCAGGGACTCGGTGAAGAGCGAGCCAGGGCGGGCTGGCGTTTAGGACAGGGCACAGCTTCCCACCCCTCCTCCCGTCCAGGCCTCGGTGGAAGCGCTGGCTCCCAGGCGCCGCTCTGGCCCGCAAGTCTCGCCCACCAGCCCTCGGCCCGGCCCACCGACCCTGGCCCCGCCCCTACTGCGATCGCCCAGCACTCGGCCCCGCCCAGCCCAGGTCCCCACYGGCACTGGCTGTCCTCGGCCGCGCACCCCTCCTCCGGACACAGCCCAGGGGTGCCATGGCGTTGCGGGAGGCGTAGCTCGCCTGCTGTGCTGCGCCGACTGCAGACCCAGCTCCCGCCTCCATGCGTGAAAACGCTGGTATCCGGAGTGACTAAGGCACCCAGGGCCGTTTGTCACAGGCTGCTGCAGCTTCAGCTCAGGGGTGGAGAGAGGCTGAATGGGCCACTGGGACTGCCGGCAGGGCAGAGGGCAGCATGGTCACCCTCCACCCGACCCGGAGCACAGGGAACCAGGCAGGTATAAACCCAGCAAGCGGAGCTGTGTTCCCATGGCCAATGGGCCCAGCATGTATCCTGGACACAGAAAGGACAGCAACACAGAGAGAGCAACTAGAGCCATGTCCACAAGCTGGGGAGGCCGGCGGCCAGGGCAGCTGGAGGAGGGTGGGAGGGCTGTGCCCTGCCATGCTTGGGTCTTGGACCAGTGGCCGGCAGAGCTGTGAGGTCACTTTGTGGTCAGTGGCCAGCTTGTGAAATCAGTCACAGCAGCCCCCGGACACCAGCATACTGTTGAAACAGCAGGCAATCTCTCCAGGGTCTTTTTGTTCTCACCCATCCCGGAATTTTCCAGACTGTTTGCAGAATCCCTGCCATCACTCTTAACGCCCCGGTTCTGGTTGTCCCTGTGGGATCCAAGGGCTCACCCTCCTCAAGGCCTTTGTACCAAGGGACTCCCAGAAGAAAAGCACTTGTAAGGGTCAAATGGAGTCTTTCTTTTCCAAAGGAAGTGAAAAGAGCATGTATTTTTCTGTTTTTATTTCTAAGTGTGTTTCTCTGTGTTTTCCAGGTGTCTCTCACAGTGAAGAGCAGAGGCCCACACCTGCCTTACAGAAATGAGAACCTGACTCAACACAGGGGCTCTGTGCAGTTCCCCGGGAAGGAAACTTGAGCGTGCCCCTGGTGCCGGCCCTATGTCCAGGCAGCTCCACCTGCTCGGCTCAGTCTCCTGCTGAGACTCTTGCTGAGGCTAGGATATCAGGCAGGTGGGAGGGTCAGCCCCAACAGTGACCCAGTGAGATAGGTGTCATTGTTCCCAGTATCCAGATGGGGAAACTGAATCATCAGCATGGCCTGGCAGAGCTGGGATCCGAGTCGGTGTGAGTTTCCTCCTGTACTCCAACCTGGTGAGGCGCTAGGCAGTTATCTGCTTGCTCTGTCCCAGCTCCCGACCCCCTCCCCTGTGACAATGAAGTCAGGAAGTCTCAGTGTGAAGGAACTCCAAGCATCCTCTTGTTCTGTGGCAGCTGTATCTCAGCCTTCCTGGGGTATCTACCAGCATTTCTGACTGATTGGCCTTCCCAGCATGAGTGTCTGGGGCTCCCTGTGGAAAACACATGGACTACCCTACTGGGCACCAGCAACTGGCCACCCTGGCTTCTGACTCCCTTAGGTGACCCCTGGTAGCATGTGTTTGCTCAACTCAGAACCAAGCCCAGACAAGTGTCCTCAGGGCTGGGCTCCTGCCTCTTGCTGCTGCTGGGCTGTGCCAGTGTCCAGGCACTGTGACGGTGCAGGGTGCCCCTCGTTATGGCTTGTATCGACCTGTGAAGCAGAAGCATGGAAAGCCCCCTGACACACTGCAGCAGTCACCCAGCAATGCCTGCGGCAAAGCACACTCATGAAGCTGTCGTCCAGAGCTCTGCTGCAGCCCTGCGTTGGCTAATGGCTGAGGGAACCCGCAGAACAAGCTGGCGTCTCCAACTGCCCATTCCCATGCCCTCTGGCTCTCTGGCTCCTGACAGCCTGGGAGCATCACCCACTTACACACTGCCACCTTCCAGTCAGGAGACCCTAGGGGGCAGAGGCTCACCGAACGAGTGGCTCCAGCACATGGACACTGTGGCTGATGGGCAGTGTGACCACGTTTCTGGCCCTGGCTTCCCACACCTGTGGTCCTCCCCTGCAGTACAATGGTCTCAGCAGGTCTCCTCAACCAGCCTCTCCGGGGTGTGCGCTGAGCCCCACTTAGCTGGCTGCAGCCCGGGAGGGTTCACAGGCAGGGGGAGCGCACAGTCGTCTGCGAGCGCCATGGGGAAGTGCATCTCCTCTGAGTCCTTGGAATGCGTGAGCTTGGTGACTTCTGTCTTTGCAGACCACTTCTTCCACCCCTTCTGGATTCTGGACACTTCTTGCCGAGAATGGTCTGTGGCCAGCACGTAGATGATGGGGTCAGCCACGCTGTTGACCGTGGACAGGCAGAGGAACACCATGGACACCGTGTACAGGCTGGCTTCAAAGGCACACACCGCAACCTTGTCTCCTCTGTAGTAGGAGAAGGTGGCCGCTTTGATGAGAAGAACCACATGGTAGGGGGCGAAGCAGACCAGGAAGATGACCACCACTGCTATGGCTGAGTGCTTCACCTTGGCCTTCTGAGCAGCGGTCAGGCCCATGCTCAGCTTGATGCTCCTGAAGATCCGGTGGTTAGTGAACGCTATGGTGCAGAGAGGGATGGCGAACCCCACTGCAAACCGCGCATAGTGGTAGCCCGCGATCTTTTCATTCATCCGCATGGGCTCGAAGCAGCTCTCCTCCTGTATTTCCATGTCAAACACCGGGTAGTAAACAAGCCCCACGAGGACAAAGACACACACCGAAATGAAGACGGCAGTCTTCTGGAGGCGCCGGCCACGGCTCTCCAGTGCATACACCACTGCCAGGAAGCGGTCACAGGAGATGCAGCACAGTAAGAGGATGCTGATGTAGATGTTGCAGAAGAAGATGTAGGCGGTCACCTTGCAGGCCCGGGGGCCCAGTGTCCAGCGGTGCCCATTCTGGATGTAGATGACCCAGAGCGGCAGTGTGCTCAGGTAGAGCAGCTCACAGAGCGCCAGGCAGAAGAGGTAGATGGCCAGCACGTTGCCCTGCAGAGCCTGCAGTAGTGTCAGCCACGCGGTCAGGCAGTTGGCCGGCAGGCCCAGCACACACACCGCGCTGTACACCACCACCAGGACCACTCTGCTCTCCTCGAAAGACGCGTTGCAGAGCCCAGCAGACAGTCCCGGGACTGCCTGAGAGAGCGGGGTGGTCACTGGGGTGGCATTTCCTGTGGGGCAGAAACAAGAGTGAGATTTGCAGAGCCAAGAGAAAGCGAAAGGCCCACCAGGTGCTTAGACAATTTCCAGAGGGATTATTGAAAGAGATCCTTAGATCCTGGAGGTCCAACCCATTGACCTCACAGACAGGAACACAGGCTGTGCAAGATGCACTCTTTGCAACTCATCCAAGTCAGTTTTTAAACTGCATCTTTGAAGAGGATGTTTGTGTCTGTTTTCTGACAGCTGAGCAAGCGCCCTTCTGAGTACCCCATCAACAGTGTCTGGAGTTAGGTGCTCACTGCTTCTCTCCTCCAGCCTCGATCTTGCTCTGGCCCCAGCCCCTGCCCTGACTTGGGCACTGTCTCATCCTTACACAAGTTTTATCTCTTCTTTGCCTTTTTGACTCTCAGTTACAAAGAAAGATAACTAACCGTCCCTGTCATGATGACAGATTCATCCACTTCTYCTTTTAGGTCTTTCAAGATTTGCCTCCTATATTTGATGCTTTTGTTAATTAGTGCCTAGAAATTAGAACTCGTTCTGTTTCTGGTGAGTCGACCCACTGGGCATTATGTCATGATGCTCTTTATCTGTGTGGTAGGCAGAAGAATGACCTCCTACAAACATGTCTGTCTCCTGATCCCTACTTGTGAATGTGCTAGTTATGGCAGTGGGGGAATAGGTTGCTGATGGAATCAGGATTAATTAGGATCATCTGGCCCAGTGCATCACAGGGAGTTTAGATGTGGGAGAGGGGGAAAGAAAACAGCCATTGTGGCTCTGAAGACAGAGGAAGGGCCTCAGGACAAGGAACATGGCCTCTAAAACCTGGAGAAGCCAAGGACAGGGGCTCTCCCTGTGGCCTCCTCCTTGTAATTTTATGTTGCCTTGGCATCTACTTTGAATGCCAGTCTAAGTTTCTCCTGCAGAAGCAGGACTCATTCACCCTGGACAGAGCTTCAGTTCAAACCCCACCCAAACAGCAGGTCAGGGGTGAGCACCAGGAGCCAGCAGGGCATCTGATAGGACCAGCAAGCCTCCCACAGGGAGCCCTGGTCACAGGTCAGACACCTGGGTCCCGGGCCACCCACTAGGTGGAAGAAGTACCCAGAAAGCACCCTGTGCACATGGGGGCTCCTTCCTGACCCTTGCCAGGGCTGCCAGTGCCCTGGGGCTGGACCCAGGTGGCCGGGCCCTCAGAGCACTCGGCCTCAGCTGGTGGGACCCACTCCAGATTCGGGAAGCCAGAACCCCAAGACCACATGTGTAGTGAAGCCTCTGCATTCATAGCCACTTGCCACATGGGCCTTGTGAAGTCCCAGGGCTCCAGATGCTCCTGGGGACAGCCCTGCTTGCCGTGGCTTCTTGTCCAGCCTGGCCTTCAGAGGCCCCTGAGTTCTGCTTCTTTCTGTTCGTGTTGCAGCACCAGGGACTGAGCTGGGCCCCAACCCTGCTAAGCACATGTTACTAAGCCACACCCCAGCACAGGACCCTTGAATTCTAGATGTGACGCTCACAAAATACTATGGCTGGATTAAAACAACGAATACTCTTTGCCTCTGAACTCTCGAGGTCAGCCCTTTGCATTTATAATACTCTCTATGTAACCCTTCTTTCTGAGACAGGGTCTTGCTAGGTCAGGCTGGTCTCCAGCTCCTGGACTTGAGTGGTTCTCCTGCTTCCACCTCCCAGGTTCTTGTCCTGCTTGGACATGGGTGACACCAGGACCCACAGGTGGGTGCCACCACTCCTAGCTTCCTGTATTAGATTTACTCCTCCACCTTGTTTTGCCCTCCTTTGCAGTTTTCCATTTACTTTTACTCCCCTTTTGCTTTCTGCTATGGGCTGAATTCTGTCCTCACTAAAAAAGACACTGTGGGGCCCTAGCCTCTGGGGCCTCAGAAGGTGACCTTATTTGGAAACAGCATCTTGACTGAGATGAGCATGTGAGAATGGGCCCTGAGGTGTCCTTACAAAAAGGGGAAATTTGGAGCTGGGGCTGGGGCTGTGGCTCAGTGGTAGAGTGCTGGCCTCGCACGTGTGAGGCCCAGGTTTGATCCTCAGCACCACATAGAAATAAATCAATAAAAGGTGTTGTGTCCCACTACAACTAAAAATAGATAAATATTACCGGGGGGGTGGACACAGGCGAGCACAGAGGAGAGAAGATGAAGACACCCACAGAGAAGAGGGCCCAGGAGAAGAGGGCCCAGGGAGGGCAGGCGGGGCCAGCCCAGGGCCCTCTGGTGTGAGAGGTGAACTGTGCAGTCAAGGCCCCCAGGGCAGCCGGGCCTCATCTTCTGGAGCCAGTGAGCTGACTCCACATTGCTCTACTCCCCTCTCCTCGCTTTGGAACTTACTGATTCTCTGGATGGTTCAGCGATTACCTCGAGGTCTCCAAGGGTGCAGTCACCCCTGAGTGGATCCAGTCTTCACCTCTGGGACCCCTGGCCTGGCCTGTGTTTGACTCATGTCCCCTCATTTCACTTGTATGGTTTTTAAAAGGTGTTTTTTAAAAAGTCTGCATAACAACATCCCACTATGGCAACCATCCTGGGCACGTGTCCAGCGAGCTCAGAGTGCTGCCCAGGGTCACCCTGGGGTGGGCTGCTGGCCCGTGACCACCCGAACCCAGCCAGGCCTGTTGCTGTCCTCCTTCCCCTCAGGGTTTGCCCTGAGATGCGCCCCCTTGCTGTTTTCCAGGTGCTGCTGTAACCAGCTGGCACAGCCCGGGCAGCTTACGGACATCGGGGTGTGCCTCTCACCCTGCTGGAGGCTGGGCGCCCCACCGGGCCAGCAGCCTGCTCTGGGGCTGGTGAGCCTGCTTCCCACCTCCGCGGTCTTCACTGTGCTGCAGGGGTGAGGCAGCTCCCGGGGCCTGCTGGGAGGGCACTCACTGACTCCTGGGGACCTAGTGGCCTCCCCCAGGCCCACGCCCTCCTGCCCTCAGCTGGGGGGCAAGGATCTCAGCAGTGTCCAGGCGCTGGAGGATAGCCTTAGTAATGTTCTTCTCTGTCTCTGCGGCTGGTCTGTTTTGCGGTGCCGGGAGGGCATCTGGGGCTCGCGCTACACTGGGCCACATGCCGCCCCAGAAGGGCTGCTCACAGGAGCCTTTGGGGGCCACCCCCGTCTTGGCTGTCAGACGTGCCTTCCACACGCAGCTCCCTGGACGGCTTCCTGTGGACCCACCTCAGCTCCCGGCTGGAGGCCTCAACCCTGAGCCTGGCTTTGGTGGTGGTTCTTGTCCTGCTTGGACATGGGTGACACTAGAGCATATTTTGACACAAGACTTTTGCCGGTAAATGGATGGATCTGGAGACTATCGTGCTAAGTGAAGTAAGCCAGTCCCCAAAACAAAGACGGAATGTTCTCTGATCTGCAGAGGCTGCCCTGGTCCTGGCCTCTGTGGCTGCTGGGGAGTGGCCCCTGGCTGTTGTGCGGCCTCCTCATCCTGGGCTCTGCACACGCTCACCCTGAGCTTTCTGTCCTTCTGCAGTGCTTCCTGGTGGCCCACACCTGTAGGGCTAGCCTGGTCATCTTTTTATATCCGTCCAACCTCTGTGTTTGAACTCAATGGAATTTAGAACTGCGCCTTTCACTACTAGAGGCTCCGCTCGGCTCCTGCTCAGGATGCCTGGCATTGCTGGAGGGCGCTCCTGTGGGGAAGGTGTGGTCCTGGGGGGGCTGGCTGCCCCAGTCCCACAACAGCAGCCTGCAGGAGGGTCCTCTGATCTCTCCAGCCCTGGCTCCTCACAGTGGGGGGCCCGTGGAGGTCTTCTCTGCAGGTGGCCCATTTGAGCCGCCAGTCGAGTCCTAGGATCACCTACCATCCTGATCAACTGGAGAATGAACCACAGGAGGTCAGTTTGCAGCATAAACCAGACTCAGGATGTGCCTCTCACTGTGCTGGAGACTGGGCCCTTGGTCTGGGCCATTGCCGGGGCTTGCTGTGACTCCAGAGCAGCACATGGCCTCTGAGGTCAAGAGGATGGAGGCAGGGGTCTGAAGGCCCATGAAGCTCCTCACAGCCAGGCACAGCCACTGCCTGGCCACACCCTCACTGGCCTCTGGACTCTGGGTCTCCTGTGAGTCCAGCCTCAGCAGTGCTCCTGGATATCCGACCAGCTCAGGTCCTGCCCAGTGTCCTCTTGTGTTCTCGTCCGTGGAGTGGACGGAGCCCAGCCAGCCTGGATGCTGGGTGCTTGTGTCTTGGGCCCATGCTGCCTCCTCGGTGCTGCCCTACTCTGCCCTCAACAGGACAGGGTCTCGACTCCCGTGTCCCTCTCAACACGTGCTGTTTTCTGATGTTTTCCCCAGAGGTGCTGGGGATGCAGCCCAGGGCCTCACCCTGCTAGGCAAACACTGCACTGAGCTCCACTCTAGCCCTCTTATTTTCTGTCTTCTGGTAGTGGCTGTCCTGTTGGGTGTGAGGTGTGAGGCAACCCACCCACTGTTCCTCCCACTCTGGCATGTGTCATTGTCCCCAGTCTAGACGGACAAGTTGAGACTTGGGAGTGCTGAGCTGCCTCAGGGCCCCCAGTGGTCCTCTGCACAAGCCTGTGAGCGGACAGCAGTGAGCAGGGTGCCGGGGCTGCGGGGCCCACAGCTCCCTCCCCTCATGTGAGCACCCTGCCTGGTGTATGAGCCCACAGAGAGGTTGTCCCCCACTTCCTGGCCTCAGATGCCCCTGCTACCTCCATCCCAGCATCAACGCCTGTTAACCCAGGTGAGGCAGTAGTGAGCCCTGGGTGGCCCAGGGCCCCTGCATGCTCCAGAGCAGCTCTGGTGCGTCCCCCTCCTCCCCTGCACTCCCCCACTGTCCAGGGGCTTGGTGAGGCCTGGTCCCGTACCACCTGCTCAGGCCCACACTCCTGTAGCCTTCACTGAGGGCCAAGTCCCTCCTGCACCTCCCTCCCCCACTGGTGACTGGGCGGGGAGCCTCGGTGCAGGCAGAAGAGCCCCAGAAGGGGAGGCAGCAGGGGCGGAGGGTGCGGCTCACGGTCAGCTCTTCCATGGCCAGCAGGGGTCCCACAGGGCAAGGACACTTGGGACGGCGGTGACTCAGGCCCGGTGCTCAGGGGTCCTGGACGTGAGAGCTGCTTCTGTCCCTCACCCCTCTCCTGGCTGTTCCCAGCACTCTCTCGAAGAACTGTGAAGTGGGCACTTATCAGCTTCCTGGTGGAGCGCCTGTGGGCCTGTGGTCTCGGTCCGCTTTGGTTCAGAAATCTGTCTCTGCGCGCTAATTGTTGAACTGTGAGATGAGACGGAGTAGGTCGGAGGAAGACTCTCTTGGACGCCCTGAATGTTGAAGTTGAAGGAGGCTCACTCACCTGGCATGTCTGCAGGTTCCAGTCTCAGGGTGGCTCTAATGTAAGTCTTCTGGTACACCTTGTGCGTCTTGTTGGTCCTACTGAGAAGGGTACTACTTAAAAGGACCTAGAGAAAGCGCAGGTGGAGATTGCTTTAGGAAAAGCAGATTGAATCATGTGAATTAAGCATGAATTCATTCATTTGAGAAAATAATTAGAGAACATTTATGATGTGCCAACTCTTGAATTCATCCTGTGGGATGCGATATCAGGTCCTTAATATATATAAAAAAAAATTCCCCAAAATCAACCACAGGAAACCTAATAGAATTACTAAAGCCAGTGAACATCACGATGTACATCATAAAAAAGGAATCTGAACTCTCAGTGTCATGGAGAATAAGGAGGAAGGCGATGTAGTGGGGATTGAGGGGAGTCTCAACCATCGCCAGTATGTTTCCCAACATCTTCAGTCTTTCCCTGGGGCCGTCTTGTTTTCTGTTGTCAGCGCTGGACATCAAACCCAGGGCTCCACACACCCCAAAGTTCTGCCGCGGAGCTGCATTCCCAGCCCTGTGCTTCCTTCGAACCCATCAGATTCTGTCTGGAGTAGTCCTCACCAGGAGTGACCCACGGCATCGAGTGCATGTGACCCAGAAGCTGTGTCACCGCCTGTTGCCCACTGTGAAGGGGATGAGGACCCTGACAGGGACCCCTGAGAACAGTGTCCTCAGACAGAGGGCATGGGAGGTGGGCAGCAGGCTCCAGGGGACCTGCTTCTCTGCATCCCTCAGTAACAAGGACAGCCCCCAGAGAGGCCCCGTGATGACGAGGCAGAGGGTGTGAGGGAAACAGAGCCAGGCCCCCTCCAGGGAGTCAGGGAGGCCCACTGGAGTCCTGGGACCTCAGAGGCAGCCTGGGCCCTCTGGCTCGGGTACATGTGTGTCTCAGTCCTCCACAGAGGAGCGGAGGCTGGGTACGCAGAGGTCAACTCAGGGGCCCCACTCCACCTACGGTGGCTCGAACCCACCACCACCAGGGACAGGTAGGCCAAGTAGAGCAGGCTGCAGCCATCAGGCAACCAGGACTCCAGGGACACCCACGCCAGCACCTGGCCAGGGCCGCACGCACCCAGACCCCAGCTCACGGCTGGCTCAGCTCCTGAGCACCCTGCCTTCCTTTTTCAAGTATGTTTCTAGAAGCTGGAGGTAACAGGAAGCTGAGCTGCTCACCTGAGGCCACAGGAAGTTGCTCAGTGTGTGAAGAGTCAAGGCAACCTCTCCATGTACGTGACCAAGCGAGAGGCCCAAGCCAGACAGAATCCAGGAAGGCCTTTCCCAAGCGTGGCTGGTGGCAGCAGCCCGGAGGCTACCACTCCCTCGGTCTCCATTCCTGGGTCTCGGCCAGCAGCCTGTTTCCCAGTGTGAAGGGGACGAGGACCCTCATGGTGACCTGCCGGGACACTACCAGGGGACTTCAGGTCCTCCTGCACTGAGCTCTGCGTGCTGTGGTGGAAGGGGAGTGCCCTGTGTGCGGGGCTCTGCCCTCTCTGCCGTCCCCAGCTAGCCACCTGGGGTCATCTGCTGCTGTACCAAAGCCTCGTGAGAGACGCAGGGCTTTCTGGCCCTCTCTAAACAGAGGGACTCCAGGGCACGGAAGTGGTGCTCCCCACCAAGGAGGGTCAAGGAGGTGCTTTCCAGCTGGTGAGGTGGACWCGTGGGCCAGGGTCCCCAAGAGAGGGGCTGATGGGATGAGTGCCCACCTACCCAGGACCAGGGAGGACAGCCACCCCACCTATGGCCCGCTTCCTCCCGGGCCCAGCCCTGGGTGGCAGGTCGCACTCTTGTACCTCATCTCTTGCCCAATGCTGTGAGCCTCTCTCTCCTTTCAGATTTTGAGGGACACAAGAGGAGCGTGTCCTTACAGAGCAGCAGAGCCGCTTCATGAGGCCACACACATCAGACAGAGTGGAGGCCCCGGGTGGGCGTCAGACACCAGCCCTCCCCTGCAGGGCTACCCCAAGCACTGGTCCCTAGAGCGGAGGCAGGGAGGGCAGCTCCACACCCAGGCTCACAAAGGCCGCGGGAGTGAGAGCCCAGAGGGAACCTGAGAGATGCTTCCCTCCTGCGAGGCTGGCCTCCTGTCCAGCAGCTGGAGGACCACCTCTGTTACTGAGAGGCTTCTCTGGGCCCCTGCCTGCCTACGGAGGCACAGCCTGGACAGTGCAGCCAGGCACTGCAGGGCACTGTGGTCCAGATCTGGGGCCTGTCTGACCTCTGGGCTCCAAGGGTTTCCCTGGACCACAGCAAGGGGGCAGGTGGTGACACCAGGAGGGGGCAGCTGGTGCTGGGGCAGCTGGAGGGAGGCTGTGGGCCCACAGGACTGAACTCCAGCCCCGGGCTGGACTCCTCCCATGGTCGCTGGGCGCCTGCCCAGAACTGCCTCCAGCCTGGCCCTGCACACCAGTCCCCAGCCTTTGCTTCCCAGAGTGGGCCCCGCCCAGGCTTTGTCAGGGTGCTCCTGCCCCACAGGCACATAGCCTCAGGCCAGGCAGGGTCCTGGCCTGGACACTGCCACTCCCACCCTCCGTGCTGCTCCCAGCCGCTTCCCGCTTCCCCTGAGTCTCCCCGTTCAGGTGAGCCTCTCACCTGCTGGACTGCAGGGGCTCCCTGTCGGGCAGCTCAGGTGCCATGTGCCATCTCTGGAGCAGCAGGGCTGTCTCCCACGAGGAGAGGTCAGGGGCGAGCAGCCCCAACCTCCAGACACAGGCTTTTCCCAGGAAGGGTACCCCAGGGCGGGACCCCTCCTGCCCCTTGGCTTTGTGTGCATCAGGAGGACCAGGGCCAGGTGAGGGGGTCCCGTGCTGCTCCACTTTTAGAAGCAGATGTGGCCCTCCAGCAGGGCAGGAGTCAGGCCAGGCCGTGCACAGTAGCTGCTGGCCTCGCCTGCCCTGGCCATCTGGGCCCATCTCTGGGGCTCTGACTCAGCTGGGGCAAGGGCCTTGACATGGCAGCAGGGCCCCCCCATGGGGGAAGGCCCCCCATGCCCAGGAGCATCCATGGGTCAGCAATGCCCTCAAGGCCCATAGTACCAACAGGCTCATGTCACCCTCACGGTCCCAGGCCATGTGCCCGTGGTGGCCCCATGTTCCTGGGGAAACTGTGGAGGCTGGATACAGAGCAGCTCAGCTGGACCCTGGGATGTGGCCTAGGGACCGCAGTCACAGTCCTGAACGGGCAGGCACAGATCAGTCCTGTCTCTTCCACCTGCTCCCAAGCGAGCTCCGTGCATCCCAGGCCGCAGACACTGCTAGTCTCCTTAGTGTGTCCCAGCCCCCGCTGTAAACCGCCATCTTCAAACCACACCTTCCCCTTGCGCCCCGCCAGTGCCCTCCGCCTGACTTCTCCTTTCCTGCCTCCAGCTACCTTCCCAGGGCCCGTCCCCACCCTCAGCTCATACCCCTGGGGCAGCTGCCACTGGCTTTCTGCCACTCTCCCAGGGAGGAGCTTGTCCAGTCCCTGGAAACGCCAGGGTCAGGAGTAGGACCGGCCGCAGCCAGCCTCGGCCGCCCAGCACCACCCGGCACCTGCCTACAGCCCCTGGGTTTTAGAATGTGCTCCTCGCCTGTCCATCACAGAGCTCTTCAGACATCCTGGCTGTCCCTGCCCCATGCTTCCCACCCGCCTTGGCTGGGGCTTCAGGGACTCTCAGCCTGGGCTGCTGGGCCTCTGAGGCTGACTGGTTTGGTGGGTTCCCCTCCAGGCTCACACCCCTCGCCACAGCAGGGTACTGCGGCTGTCTCCACCGTCCTCCTCCCACATCCTTCTTTGAGAACCTACCCTGGATTCGGTCCCCACATCAGGATGTGCTCAGGCCAGAACTGCAGGCTCACCAGAATCAGTCACGGGCTCTCCAGGAGGAGCCGGGGCTGACTTCCTGCCCAGCAGAAGCCACGTTGCCATCCTTCCCAGTGCGGTAAGGTAAGACCATCGTCTCTGACACACGTTCTCTTTGGTTGGACTGCTGGTGAGTGGGCCTCCCACACAGCTGCCAGCTGTCCAACACCTCTCAGCCTTGGCTGGGCCTGGCCCTAACGCACGGCATTATCCATCCTGGATGGCGATGCTGGAAACCACTGCTCAGCCTCATTCTCCAGTCCCCAGTGGTCAGTCCAGTCCCTCGGGGATGTGCCCAGCCTGGGTCCATGAACCCAGCAGAATTTACGGAGCCCCTGCTGTGCCAGGTGCTTGGGATACCTAGCCTGAGAGACCTGTGAGCCACCAGCCACAGGATCTTGCCCCATGATTGGACAGACCACCGTCCACTCCAAAAGAGTCCCTACTGTCCTGCAGTCCCTCCTTATGCGGTGCCTCTCAGCCTAGGCCACCCTGGAGGAAGGAGCCCCATGTCCACAAACCATGCTGCCCCAGGGGGATGGCAAGCACGCAGGCCAGGAGAGGGGAGAGGAAGTCCAGCCCTGCCTGGCATCTGCGCCAGCAGCCACGTAAGGATCTCTAGAGAGAATGGGGGCAGATGAGGACACCAATGTGACAGATGCTCTTGGTGGGCACAGTGCCCCTAAGTCCTATCTTGGGGACAGGCTTCGGGTTAAGAGCCTTCAGCGAGCCCCACCTTTGTTCCAGCACACAGGCAGCCTTCTCTCAGGCCCTCTCCTGGGCCAGCCCCCCAGGACCCTCCCAGCACACCCAGGACAGTGACTTACCCAGGCCCATCCTGCCGCGGCTCTGTGTGCCCTCTCTACAGGCCCCCTGACATTTCAGGAAGTAGAGGGGTCTGAGCATGTTCACTCCGAAACTCCCTTAACCACAAAGCGGAGCTGAGTCGGGGTTGGCTGACAGGCTGGGGCGTTATCTCCTGGCCATGACAGCACGCCCCTCACTTTCCTGGGGACAGGGGAATCAGGAAACGGCTCCAGACCCTCCTGTCTGCTTTGACAGCATCCCCAGCAAGCCATACCTCCTCTCAGGAGATGAGCAGGGACCCAGGACAGACACCAGGGGCCAAGGAACAACGCAGCCAGGCAGCTCCATCCAGGTGGTGCCACACCTCCCAGCGTTGTCCCAGGGAGACAAGGCAGCACCCGCCGCAGCTGGGCCTGGAGAGAGGGAGGCCAGGTCCTCTGCAGCACAGGAGCAGACGCTTCCTGCTCACCAGGAACACCCATGGGTGCCTGCCAAAGACGCCCAGCCCTCCCTCGCCACCTTCCTAGGGCAGGCCTGCAGGCACAGGGCTCTGCTGGGGGCTTCTCCCCGACAGGCCATGTGGCGACCGGGAGTTGGGGTCAGGGGCCACCTGGGAAGCTGCCTTGACTGATGAGCATGGCCTTCCTTGGCCCAGTTTCCCTGGAAGACACCAGCCCTGCCAGCGTCACCCACCCCTCCCCGACCTCTCTGCACAGAGGGCTGCCTCCGGGCTTGGGGTGCAGCCCCTCCCTTGCCCAAGCCTGGCACAGTCCTGGCTCTTCCAGCCATGAGGTCATGAGAAGGAGTGTGTCCAGGGACATCTCCAGGACAGCTCTGCAGCCAGCAGTGCTCCAGACACGCACACCGGGATGTGCTCAAGGCTGGGCCCTGGGGTTCCCCCAGTTATGTGGGCCTCCGCCCACCCAGGCGCAGGGCTGTGAGGCCCCAGCTCGCCCCCTCGCAGGTGCACCCTGAGCACCAGTCGCTGTGGTCTCGTGTCGGCGCAGCGGAATCCCTAGGAGTCCTCGAAAGCCCACATGCCATCATGTGAGTGTCCAAGGCACCACTCACCTCAGCCTTCAGGGAGCACCCACCAGGGGCTGGGACCCTCGAGGGGTCTGCCACGCACACCACCTCCACCGGGGTTCGCCACAGGCCACTGACTGCCATGCCCCTGGGCCGGTGCCTTGGGGATCCCAGGTGCCCAGGGCAGCGAGAGGGCACAGCCTCCTGCCCCCACCAGCCTGTCTGGGGCGCTCTGCCTTCCGCTTCTAACAAGAGCCCCATCTGGGGCTTGACAGGTGGTGATTTCCAGTGACATCACCCTCTGTGCCCAGCTGCTTCATGTGGCAAGGGCTCCCCTCCCAGCGGGGGAGATGCACTTCCCCCTTGGGCGCCCTGGTCTCCTCCGGGGGGGGGCAAAGCCCTGGCTTCATTTATTTTTCTCTCTAGACTCACAGACTTTTCCTCTGTGTGGTGAAGTGACCGCTCCACCACTTCCAAGTGAATGGCTGGGTGGCCTTCGCACACTCACAGGACAGCCACTGTCTCCAGGACGTGGTGGCCTTGCCACACTGAAACAGCCCAGCACACCCGGCTCCTGCCCTGCCCAGCCCTGCCCTTCCTGGCCCTGCCCTCCAACCTCGTCTTGAGCAACGCTGCCCACTGTCCACCCTCCTGTAATGGCTCTTTCAGTCAGCACTGTGTCCCCGAGGTCCTTGCCTGCTGCAGCAGGTATCAGAGCCCCTCCCTGTCAAGGCTGCACGGTGGTCCACTGTGTGCACCGACCTTTGCTTCTCTGCTGGACAYGGTGTGGCTTCTTGGCTGCCATGTGTGGTGCCCTGAGGATGCGGAAGTGTGGGACCCGTGGACTTAACACACTCTGTGCATCTCTGTCAGTCGTCATTCTTATTCTTTTTTTTTTTTTTTTTGGTACTGAGGATTGAACTCGGGGGCCCTGAGCCACATCCCCAGCCCTTTTTTATTTTGAGACAGGGTCTCACTAAGTAGCAGAGGCTGGCTTTGGACTTGCAATGCTCCTGCCTCAGCCTCCTGAGCCGCTGGGATTACAGGGTGCGCCACGCAGGCCTGTCGGTCATTATTCTTGAAGATGCTCGCGTCCTCCAAACTTGACAAGCTGCCCACTCTGCCTCTGTGCTGCTGAGCATGGGGTTGTCTCTGTAGATCTGTCACTATGGCAAGTCACATCCACCAGTTTCCAGAAGCCACACTGCCTCTCAGTGGGCCCATCTGTGGTGCCTGACCTGTGGGCTGAGCTGGCAACCTCTGGCCTGGAGGGGTCTTCCTGGCCTTTTGGACTCTGTTGTTGGCTCCACCCACCGTCCCTTGGAGGAGGGCCTGTGCTTGGCTCTCCCGCCTTTTATGACGCCCAATGGGGGCAGGGTTCCCAGGAGTTTCTATAGGGGCCACAGGTTCCTGGGTTCCAGCCAGGGGACTTTTGAAGACAGCCTTGCCGAAGGAGGAGCTGCTGGGAAGGAGAGGGGCTTTTGAGAGGTGTCAACACAAGAACTTGCCAATTCTGAAAGTCCTCGGTGCTAGCCCCTGTCCCTTCAACCCAAACTTGCTGAGTATGAGTCACCAATGTGCTTTCAGTTAGGCCCAGTGTCAGTGTGCCCCAGTTAGGCCCGTGTGTCAGTCAGATTTTCTTCACCGTGACCAAAATACCTGACCAGAAAAACTTGGAGGCGGAAGGGTTTATCTCGGCTCACCGCTTCAGAGGGTGCAGCCTTGAAGGGTCCATCCTCCCCTTGGAGCTGGCTCAGCGCTGCAGAAGAGGTTGGCACAAAGCTTCCCAGCTCGTGAACGCAGGAAGGAGAGGGAAAAGCTGGGGGAGATAACCCTTCCAGAGGGTGCCCCTCCTCCCCCAGCTCGGTCCCACCTCCCCCCAGTCCATGCAGTAATCAATGTGGTTAAAGATGTCTGGTCCAGTCATCGCCTGCAAGGCTCGCCTTTGAACCTCATTGCACTAGGGATCAGGTTTCCAACCCACGAGCTCTTGGGAGAAATTCCGGATCCAAGCCCTGACATCCCCCCACAATCCCCTAAGCTCATAGCTACCTCAAAATGCAAAATGCATTCAGTCCATCTTTAGGAGTCCCAGTAGCCTTAACAGAATTGCTCAAAAGTCCAAGTCCAAGGACTCCTCTTGAAGCCAGATTTAAAGACAGGTAGTTGGTGTGGCTGGATAAATCGGTCAGATGGAAAAACAGGAGTCTGATTAGAGCCGAGCAAATGGGAAACAGCCCCTGGGAGAATGGAAGGTTCCTGTCTCCAGAGCCCTTTGATACTCCCCCTCCCCAAAGAGTTGTTTTAAGCAACTCCTGAGCAGACAGGGAGCTGCTCATCAAAGCCCTAGGCTTCTGCTCCCTTCCTGTCCAGCACTCCACCTGGCCCTTCCAGGCCACCTGCTCACCCCCTGGCCATCCCACCACATCCCCAGCCTCTGTGCAGGATGAGGTAAATGAACAAGATAAGGGAGAAGAATGCAGGAGAACAGGGGGACTTCAGACACATAAAAGGGACAGGACTTCCTCATTCCACTGATTGTGCCTTTGGGTCCCCTTCTTCCACATGGGAGAAGCCTGCTGCACTGTCCTTTAATAAAGCTTCTCACTTCCTACTCCACGCTTGCCTGGGCGTGCTTCTCTGCTGTGACCCTGCAACTTGGAGGAAGCAGGACCCGTCTAGGTGACCAGTCACTGGCCGAGTCACTCAAGACAAGCTCTCAGTGTGAGCCTCTGTAAAACTCAAATGCAATATGTTATGACACAGAGGAGATATCCCATTCCGCCAGGGAGAAAAAGGGGCATAGAACCTTGGGGCCAGAGCAAGACTGAAACCCTGCTGGGAAAACATTAAACCTCTAGCTCCATGCCCTGTGGGCCCCGAGGCCCGCTGCAGCCTGCGTGGCCTCTCTCGAGCTGGCTCTGTTGTTCCCTGCAGCTCTCCTCAGCAGATGTCCCATACTCTTGGCATCCCTGACTCCCAGGGCTCTCCACTGCAGCTTGGGCTTCACTCTCACGGCTTCCTGGGTCGCCGTCTGAAGGCCTGCCTGCAGTTGTCCATGCCCTGCTACGCACTGCCTGGCCTTCGAGCTTCCCTTTGAGATCCCAGCAGAAGCCTCCAGGACCCATAACCACAGCAATTTTCATTCCTGCAGATTCCCTACTACATGGCCAGCAAGACTCCGAGGTGGGCCATCACCAGCTTGAGCAGTCACCAGGCCCCACCCCCACTCCCACCCCGTGGACCTCACCGCCAAGTGCCAGGGAGCCGGGCTGAAGGATCCCTGGGGAAACGACCTCCTAGGCAGCCCAAGGAGTGTGCACGACTGCAGCCCTGAACCTGCAGTGGGTGTGGTCCTGCATTTCCTGAGGTGCCCTCGTGGTATCTCTCCTGCTGACTCCCCAAGAAGCAGGTTTCTCTTTAGGGGTGCTGATCTCAGCAACTACACATACTTTGGCCACAACTTTAGACCTGCTTTATTTCTGGCCAAACTGCAAATTTTTCAAATCCTTCTGCTCTGCTTTTTGCTCCTGATTCTCTCTGTCACCTGGCTGAAAACCTCCAGCCTGTGCCACTGCCTGAGCGCTGCGCTGCCGGGCACTTTCCTCCTCTAGGTGGAAAAGTCTGTAAGCTTTAAATTCAGCCTGACAGAAAGTCTCAGGGCATGGACAAAACGCAGAAAGGTTCTTTGCAATAATGTAACCCGAATGGCCTCTAGTCCCGTTCCCAATACAGTCCTCTTCCCCCCTGAAACTTGGTGAGCACAGTTCTTACTGCGCACATTCCGATCAGCATCTGGTCCTGAGCTCCCACCACAATCACCCATCAAGCTCTGCTTGCAACACTCTAAGGCTTCTCCTGCCTGCGTGTCCAAGCTCCTCCTGCAAACCAGTTCTCAGGTCTCGGAACCAGAGCAGCAGGAATAAACACAGCTGTGACCCCCATTCTGGGTTCCAATTTCTGTGTTAGTCACCTTTTTATCACTGTGACCAGAATACCTGACAAGAATAACTCAAAGGCGGAGGACTTATTTTGGCTTACAGTTTCAGAGAGATCAGTCCATGGTCAGCTGGCTCCATGGCAGAAGGACATAGCGGAGGAGAGCCACTTGGCTCAGGGCAAAGCTGGGAGAAGCAGGCAAAGGGAGGTGGGGGAGGTGAGCCCCTTGGGCACGCCCCAATGACCCTCCCCTCCAGACAGTCCCCTCCCAGAAGTCCATTCAGCTCCCAGTGGATGTGGAAGAACACACTGATGATGTCAGAGACCTCATGATCAACCATTAGCCCACGAGCCCACCTCAAGCCCACCTCTGAGCCCACCTGGAGCCCACCCGGAGTCCACCTGGAGCCTACCTCGAGCCCACTTGGAGCCTACCTCGAGCCCACTTGGAGCCTACCACTGAGCCCACTTTGAGCCCACATCAAGCCCACCTCGAGCCCACCTCAAGCCCACTTTGAGCCCACCTCTGAGCCCACCTCAAGCCCACCTCTGAGCCCACCACTGAGCCCACCACTGAGCCCACTTTGAGCCCACTTTGAGCCCACCACTGAGCCCACTTTGAGCGCACATCAAGCCCACCTCTGAGCCCACCACTGAGCCCACTTTGAGCCCACTTTGAGCCCACCACTGAGCCCACTTTGAGCCCACATCAAGCCCACCTCGAGCCCACCTCTGAGCCCACCTCAAGCCCACCTCTGAGCCCACCTCTAGCCCACCTCTAGCCCACCTCGAGCCCACCTCAAGCCCACTTTGAGCCCACCGCTGAGCCCACCTCGGAGTCTTGCTGTGTTGGGGATGCACTTCTAACACATGAGCTTTTGGGGGACATTCCAGATCCCAACCAGAACAGCCCAGGACAAGCTGCCTGTAGCCCCCGAAACCCCAAGCACCATGCCTGCCCACAGGGTCTCTTCCTCAGGAAAGGAAGGCCTGGCAGCCTGCACACCCTCAGAACCCCGAGCCTTATCTCGTGGTGAGTTCCAGCATTGGCATGAGGGTCCAGGTGTCAGGAAGGAAAGAAGAATGCTCAGCCCCGCCCCTCGGAGAAGGCTCCGGATGGCCCAGAACCTCTGCTCCAGCCTCTGATGAGAGCTGGCTGCCCTGAGAGGGTGGGAGAGGAGGCCCTGGGGTGAGACAAGGCCTCC